TTTTACAACATTTTTTCTATTTTGCACAAATATTTCAAAAATATAGGAGTTTGTCAATTTTTGTTGATATAGTTTATTCTATGGAGTCAAAATTTCGTAAATATTGGGAAGAGATATCCTCTTTATTTTTATTAGCTTCGGTGATGGACTCTCGACTTAATTTAACTGGCACAAAAGTTATTATAAAAGGGATTTCAAATTTCATGAATGTACAATTAACACATGTGCATATAGAATCAATGTTGTGTGAAATGTATAACCATTGCGCTGAAAAAGAAGGTCAGTGTAGTTCTACTTCCCAAAATTCTTTTTCAAGAAACGCTTCAACAAATGCAGATAATATATGGAGTTGTTTAGAGACTAATACAAGTGTTCCATCATTTAGTTCTAGTTCGTCAATATCTAGAGCAATAGATGTCAGTGGTATATGCGCGTGGACGTTCGTAATATGTTACAACCACAAGAATTACAAGAATTTAGTCTTTTATCTTGGTGGAGGTGTAACAAAAGGCAGTATCCAATTATATCAAAAAATGCTCGCAATCTACTAATACCGTCGGTGTCTACAGTAGCATCGGAGGCTGCATTTAGTTTAGGTCGGCTCGACTCGGCTCGTCTACACCCCTAATCAGACATAACTTTGTTAATTATTAAACACTTAGAATCAATCATTGTACGGTCAACAATCTAATGTAGATATGATGTTCTTCAAAATGAGTCATGATGTCAAATTTGATATTAGAATTGGACCAAATAATGCACCAAAAAACTCATAAAGGAATTTTCCCTATCATGCCAAAATCGACCATCATTCTTGGTGCAATAATTTAGATATTACACTATTTACAATGTTGCTGTAGTCGATAAATAAACGTGTTTGCATGACCACACATGAACTTTAGTAGTATTGACTTTTTTGAAAGCCCATAATTAATTTTTCTCTTTATATCTTTTCAGTAAAAAACAAGATATATGTGCAAACGGTTATACCATTGATTATCAAGCTCGACTCAATTATTGATCCAATTTGCGAGTTTCACGATGTCTATACGTAAGCGTTACACTTTAAGACACATCAATCACTCATGACGGAAATTTTTGTCGTTACTACAGTAGAATTGATAGACGAGTAGACTCTGTAAAAGCTTAATTTAGAGGTATTTAGAGAATTCAATAGTTACCATAAATTGTACTTTAAAAAGTTTGGCGTATAAAGAGAATCATTGCAATTACTTTATATAGATGTGGTTTTCATTTTTATCTTTTTATTGAGAATAAGTGAAGTATAAGGAGGAAGTTATAACTTAAAAACCGGATAGTGGATACAACAATTAAAACGAACCTTTATAATAATAGAATGTATTAATGGTAAAAATTCATGTTGCTAAGATGGACTATTAAGACTCGATATTCTCAATAAATTTAAGTTTGAGATTTTTTTTTTTCTAAACGTATATTGTTTTTGACAAATCATTACATCTATTCAAAAATGGATTTTGCTGAAGTGCCCAAAAGTTTGACATAGAGGTTGACACCACCCTCACATTTGCACGTTGGTCTCGACCTGAATAAAAAAATGCCGACCTCCCATGTGTGTGTGTTTGGTCATCCTTTATGTCATCTATTATGTTTTTGTAGCAAGTCCCATTCAAAAATACATTAAAATTAAATCTTTTACAACTACATCTCGAGATACGTGTCAACACGATATTGAATAATTATATGGAAGTGATATTATGGAGGATTGGATGTGAGGGAGAGCTATTCAATTTTCGAACGGCTCTCCACCCTTGTCCTTTAAAGCAAATTGGTTGTGATATAGAATACGGTTGAATTTGATAATTATTAAAAAATAAATAAAATAATAATTCATGAACAAACGAACAAAAGTGACGAAGTTGCACCGAAACTGTATTCCTTAAACTTATATGCATACCATCCTACCCTACTCTAACTTCTTGCTTATTCCTTCTGTCATTTTTCCCATATTACCCTTGTTTGGTACATGTCCCTTTTAACCTTGCAAAGTGTTGGTTGTTTAAAGGTTTCGATATTAAAAAAATGAAATTTATCATTGAAAAATTGATTAAAATTATGGGTTTCATGAAATGCTGTTAAAAGTTTAAATCTAACTAATTAAATTGTGATTTGTGCTCTCTTGACATGTGTCATGTAATTCGTTATGTCCATCTTTGACTTTTTTTTTTTGTTTTATAGTAAAATCCATGTTGATTTCACACTGTCACGGTTCATACTTAAATAACGTCAATGTTCGAGGCATCGAGCTGAGGCCTCTAATGTCTCTTTTTGGACGGGTTTCAATTGTCTATTAGCCAAGTGATTGAGATTCATTTGATAAATTTTTTGTTCGACACGCTTCAGAGGTCGATGTGCAAATATTTATTTTGTAACATGTGGTTATGCAACGAGACCCTTTGTGGCTGACTCCAAGTTCATGTGAACAATAATTATGTCAGCACGTAACAGAATTAACGATGCATAAGCTATTTGTAACCTACAAATAATATGTTTCACGGGATAGATAAAGATCCTAATTGAAAACTCAAAGGGTGTTTGATGCACATTTTTTTAAAAAAAATGCATTTTTTTGTGATGTGATGTGATGTGATGGTGAATATGTGGTTAAAAAGAAGGAAAAGTTATTGATGTAATGGAAAATATTATTTTATTGAAAAATATGTGGTTGAAATAAGTAGAAGAATGAAAATGAGAATGTGACTCAAATGGAGATTCATTCCCACCAATTTTATCAAAATTAGGGGTGTCCGAAGTATCAAACCGAACCGAACCGAACCGAATCGAATCGAGTGGTTCTTCATAAATTAAATACTTGAACGGGTACCCGAATCGAGAACCGATGGGTTTGGGTCGGGTCTCGGGTCTAGACCAAGAACCGAAACTAAATAATTTTTTTATTTTTCATATTGAATTAATTAAATTATTTTATTTTTTTAAACAAATTAGCAAGTTAATTAAATAAAGTGGAAATTACATGGAGCCCCACATTTGAAAATTCAATTTCCAAAATCAGATTTGGTATTTTAAGTTTCAAAAATCAAATATTTTAATGTATAGATACAAATTTTTTATATTTAATTAAATATTAATAAAAATATTTTGAAAATTAAATTATAAACACCCCACCCCACCCCTAAAATGATAAAACCTAACTTCTCGTCATTTCTCTCCTCCTCTATCGCCGCTCTCTCCCCCGTCTCTCTCCGTGGTGCCTGGCTGCTGGCGGCGGCGGCGTCAGCGCCGGTGATGCTCCCCTCCCCTTCCCCTCTCCTCCCCCTCCCCTTCTTCT